GGTATACAAACTGTCTTCATGTGCCTATAGCACAAAGAGAGATGCTCTCTCAGCCTGGACTCTTAGGGGAGTGCCTTGACCCTACCAAGAGTAAAATGACAGACTCTAGATATCCCCTATGTGGAAGGATTTGGCAATAGGGTGGGGGGGGGGGGAAGGGGAGTGCAGGAAGAGGCGAGGGAGAGGGAGCTGGGATTGACATGTAAAACAAGCTATTTAAAATTAAAATTAAAAAAATTAAAAAAACAAAACAAAATGATGGAAATAGCTAAGAATTCTTGAGTTATTTCTAAAGGAACCTTTTGTAGACTAAAAATAAAATGAATTCAATGTCCCAAGATTCTTCCTCAGCTGTGGAATGTCCTGATATATACACCATTGCTCTAAAAGCCTGTGCATGCCCTGGATTGATTTACAGGAAAAAGTATACATTTCCAAGAGACTTATTTTGAAAATGAAGTTACTAACAGTTTCAGAGTCAAAATTAAGAAAAACTAGTTTGTAAATTGCATTACATTTTTCATTTTGTTTATCAAATTTAATATCTCTTATAAATATCACAGTAAATTACCATGATCGTGATATCTGGCAAACATATGTTCCATTTTTAAAAATTTAGTAAATAAGACCTATGATATTTGGCAATGTATTTTTTACTTAGGTAAAAGAATAAATGAACACTCCTTGGGTTAATTGTCACCATTTTGCCTCTGTAAACACAGTCATGAGTCATCAACAGTGAAGAAGTAGGTTTTCCAGTGATGCTGTTGTCTTTTAATTGAAACTTGTTCATGTAAGCCACCTTTCACCCATGTTTCTGTAAAAATCCCACAACCTCAGTATGAAAATATTCTCCATAATTTTGTATTGATAGTAACAATATTTATGGACTATTATTATTAGTCCTCATCCAGGAATATAGGAGTGATATTAAGCTATCTTCATTTTGCATAGTGGACATATTTAAGAAGTATTTATATGTATATATGTGTAAATATATGCAAATAACAACAGTAAACAAAATGTTAGATAGCTAATATTCATTGACAATGTCATTCAGGGAGCATACCCATTAATTATTTCATGGCATTCAATGTGTTATATATTTGATGTTTTAAATACATATCACTATTAGGATACATTTGTCTGTTTTAAAGTTGTGAGGCTGTGAATATCTTGAGAAATTTCCCCAGGAATAAAGTCGGAGGCTTTTTAAAAGAGAGCTTATTTTTGAAAAGATTAACTTCTTTATAATTTCCTGAAAGAAAAACAGAGGCAAATCTACAGTATTAAAAAATTAATCCACAAAATTCTAATTAATTCCTAAAAATTACTGTTGATCGTCAACACCACCACAAAATAAAAATAGACACATGCTAAATCCCTGAAGACTTACTGAGAGTTTGAAGACCTATGTGAAGTTGACTCCTTTTAACCATTATCTCATTCAGCACCTCCTGGGCTCCCAAGTTAAGTCATCACTAAATAGTCTGAAACAATGAATAAACTCAGAGAGTGATAGCTGGAATCTAGTTTTGCTTCAGGAACTCTCCACACACTGACTGAACAAAAGCCAACTTGCTTTCCTTAGTAGAGAATTCCTGGTGTAAGCCAAAAGAGTTCTGGAGGTAATTGTTTAACTGACATGATTTATCAATGTGAAATATGGTTGTCCTATTTATTTCCTGCACTCTTCACTTTTCCCTTTCTTCTCACCCACCCTTCCCCTTTCTCTTGTAAACATTTAACATGCTTAACTCCATCTCAGTATTTACTGCCAGAAGAGAAAATTTGATAGTGTATTGTTTTATATATTTAACTTAACTTCTTTTCGAAATGAGGGTATAGAAATTTTAAAAGTGTTTGGCCTCAGGTAATTTCTAGGCTGGTGCCATTTTCAACATGCATGGGGATTTTATTGGAGTTCAAAGATACTCAGGCAATCTATGGGGTTTTGGGGTAGTAGATCAGTGTTTATCCCTGGCACACAAATGGACTTTGGGAACCCATCCCACAATGAGGTATGCTTTCTCAATCTGGACACTTTGGGGAGGGCCTGGGCCCTCCCAGGAACGAAATGACAGACTCTAGAGATCACCCATGGAGGGCCTTACCCTCCCTAGGGAATGGAGTGGGGATTGGGTGAGGGGCCAGGGGTGGTGGTGGGGGGAGTGGGTGTGGAGGGAAGCAAGCTTGTTCCTAATTTAAATATATAATAAAAAGTGTAATAAAAAAGAAGTTAAATACTAGACACAGAAACACATAACTATATGATTAAGCATCAGAGATTTAACCCTAGGTCTCGTTAATTGTAAGTTTTCCCTTTGCAATGTGAAACAACTTGAACTTTCTGCTTCTGAGGGTACTAGTAAGAATTAGTTTTAAAATGAATGGGTATACAATCAGGCTATTAAACCCACATTGTGTGGCCAAACTAGAAGACTACATCATCACTAGTTAACATGACTATATTGGCCAGTTTGTTATCTGGACACAAACTATAGTTACCATGAAGAGGAAACCTCAATTGGCAAATTGCCTCTAGCAGATTGGCTGATGGGAATGTCTGTGGTGTATTTTGTTGACTAACGATGGATGTTGGATGGTCCATCCCTCTGTGGGTATTATCATTATCTGGGCAGGGGTCCTGACCTATATAAGAAAGCAAACTGAGGAACCCATGGGTAGCAAGCCTTCAGGCAGCATTCAATGTAGGCCTGTTTCAGTTCCTACACTCTGGTTCCTGTTCCAAGTTGCCTTCAGTCAGTGTTCATCTCAGCAATAGGAAGGACGCTATAATAGCACTTATCAGAAAAATCAAGAATATAAGAATAAGTTAGAATTATATAGTATTCTTACCATAGAGAAAATAGAGAGCACCCCAGAATAACCAAATCCTATTTCATTTTCTCCCTAAGACATTTTCTTTTTAGGTCACATAGAGATACAGACTAAGAGAAAATGTGTGTATTCCCTATGTTATAGCATCTTTGGTACAGGACGGTCCTCTGCATGCTATCAAAAGAGAAATGTAAACACCAAGTCAGCCAGAACCCCTTCATCTATGATGGTGTATTGCCTGCAAGATATGTTAGGGCAATGGTTGTTGTGGAAACCAACCAATAACTGATTTGACTCAAAGCCCATTCCACAAGACAGAACCTGTACCTGAGACTAGATAGCCTAAGGACCTAGGGTAAAACCAAACAACACCAATCTACCATGTGAACTCAGAGAGACTGAAGCAACAAGCTCAGGGCCTGCACAGTTCTGTACCAGATCAGCTGCACTTATATTATGGCTTTCAGTTTAGTGTATTTATAGGACTCCTGAATCCTGGAATGAGTGAGTCTCTGATGTCTGTGCCTTCTCTTGGGTTCCTTTCCTTCTGTTGGCTTGCCTTGTCCAACTTTGATGTGATCGTTTTTGTTTTACCTTATTCTGTTATATTTTCAAAAATTTTATGAATGGATGAAAATCCAGCTACTGGGGTAAAGATTAACAACCGAGATGCTATTTTTACCTGCTGGGAGGTCAAATGGAGTGACACTGGGTGTATTAACCTAATCAGAGCAGTCCTCATGTTGAGGAATAGTTGACCAACACATAAGGGACTCCACAGTTTTGTTTTTTGTTTGTTCTTTCATTTGGTAGTTTTGTTTCGTTTTGTTTTTAGGGAGGTGTTGTTTTGTTTTTCTTTGATGGGTTTTTAGGGATTTGTTATTCTATTTGGTTTTTTGTTATTTTTTGAGACAGAGCTTAAAGTTGAATGGATAGAGAGGGTGATAGAATCACGAAGGACTTGGGGGAGTGGAAGTACATGGAAAAATATTATTAAAATGTATTTAAAATTAAAACTGTTTAAAATATATTTAAAAAGGAAAATGCAAAAAAGGAAAAAGAAGATGACTGTTTTTTACCCTGGAAAATAAGACCATTATCTCCCACTCAAGATTCTTTCTCATAAATAAAGGGAGTGATAGGTAAGGAAAATGAATGTAGAGAAATTTGCACAATAAGCAATATCTCTTATAGTTGGCAAATGCTTATTAGAGAAATTCAAGTAGGAAATATCATAAAATAAAGAATTAATATTAGCTTTGGCTCAGTGAACATCGAAGAGGTTTCTGTCTGTTAGGAAATGGGGGATGATGAAGAGAGATCTAGGAAAGAATGTGAAATGAAAGATGTTTGCAGACAGCTGAGATTCTGATCAAGTAGACGTTGTATTAATGAGTAATGGAGAATTCTGTGATGAGTGGTTGTGTCTGAAAGCTGCCAACACAGAGTTACAGAGGCCATGGATGTGGATGTAGAAGCTAAATGTGCCTTCACGTTGAGTATGTCAAATCTGCAGTGAATCCTAGTGAAAGGGACTAGTAAAGTCATTGATGACAAGAGTGTAGCATGACCACGGGTTAACAGTTAGTACATAGCTGGGAATGGTGGCACACACAGTTAATAGTGGCACTCTGGAGGCGAAGAGAGGTGGATTCCTGTGAGTTTCACGGCCAGCCTGGTCTACAAAGTGAGTTCCAGGACAGCCAGGGCTGTTACACAAAACATCTATCTCAAAACAATCTCCCAAATGAGATTTAATATTTAATTGCACAAGAGAACAAAAGTATTTCTTATAGAGTATAATTAATGTTGATTGATTATATGCACCAAAAAGTGATGAAAGAATTAAGAATGATGGCCATGTATTTTTGAGTAGCACAATGTTGACAAATAAATACCAAAAAGAAAATTTTTAAATTCTACAAAAATAATCATATATATGGAGAAATATACATGATGTGTATATCATAGTAATGTTTTATATGTATACACTTTTGTTTGTCTTGCAACTTTGAAGTATTATAAGCAGTATCACATTATAGAGAAATCCAAGTTTCATTAGTCACATACAATTATTTCCATGCGTGAAGATGACTTTATTTGTAAAGAGCAAAGTGAGAGGGCTCAGCCTATTGTGTTTTCTCTGATTTTTTTTGTAGGATATAGTGAAAGATGAATGCTCAATGCTGAAACTGCAACTGAAAGACAGGGATGAGCTCATTTCTCAACTACAAGCAGAGCTGGTAAGTGATTGGTTGACACAGTTGCTTACTCTTCAGTGTTGTTTGGCGTAACCTTTATCTATTGACCTAATACTATTATTTATAAGTTTGACGAATGATTTAAAATATCACCATAACTTTTATCAAAACTTTAGTATTGAAAACTGTAGTCTTTGACTGCAGACAGAAAAGAAATGGTATTTTACGTGTGCAACAATTTACATACTACTAGAAATTAGTGCAAACTTTTAGTTGTATCTGTAATCATAAAGGCTAAAGCCACATAACATTTTGTATTCTGTGTGATTCCCCTCCGTATTTAAATGCCTAGAGAGAAACTTTACAATATGAAGGAAGGCATTTATTACTCTTGCAAACCAAACATATTTTACTTTCATTTTATGATCACCAGATTAAGCTTTTTGTCAGTACATAGAGTAGAATGTTCAATTAATATACAACTCTCACAAAAATATAACTGAGAGAGGTTATGTTGGAAATAAGAAATTGAGTGGTTAGAACATCATAGCACATTTGCTATATAGAAGGACTGTAATTTTTAGATGTTTCACTTTATATACCTTATGAGCAGCAGTTTAAAATGAATATCAGTACTCTAGAAATAAAATTGTAGAAATATGAAATAATTAAAAAGAGAATGCTAATTATCGAGAGTTCCTAAGATACCAGCAAAATAACCATAACACAGTAGAAAATACCCTGACACATTATCAGTGTCATAAAAGAAATCCTATTTAAAAACATAAAATGATTTAACAGTTAACTATATCAATGTTGGTGTATTATATAGGTATAAAGTACAATTCAACAGCTTAACTGAGTTTATAGCCCAACAAGCTTATAAGGATGACAGACATACTAGTACGATGTCAAATCCATAATATTTTATGGAGTCTGAAGTGTTAGCAGAGCTTTTACTGAAAGTTGACCCTTATTTAGACTAAGCATGTTAGTAGGGCTTCACAAGCCTCTAACCTACTACGTAAAATTAGAATAGCATTCACAGACGAGAAGAGCATTTCCTGTACTATAAGAAATAGTCCATTATGAAAGGATCAGCAGCAGATTAGTAGTATAGACAGTATCTACTACATTATGAAAACACAGTATATTTAATATATTCCTCTATGTCAGTGGTTCTCAAAGTTCCTAATGCGCAACACTTTTATACAGTTTCTCATGTTATTATGAACCCCAACCATAAAATTATTTTGTTGCTACTTCATGACTATAATTTTGCTAATGTTATGAGTCATAATGTTAATATCTGATATGCGATCCCTGTTGGGGTCATGACTCACAGGTTGAGAATTACTCTTCTATGTGTATATTATGACCAACCTTTGTCTATATGTCATAGAAAAATATCTTTGTATTTAATAAACCTTAAGTACAGATATCTATTATCAAATGGAATAATCAGTCTTAAATAACAGCTCATTCACTTTGCCAGGGAGTGCTGATTTTCAATAACTAACTCAGAAAAGATTATACATTTTTGTTCATGCCATCAGTTTTATCATATTTAAAACAGAATGTATAAGAAACAGACCTTTCTTGTTGGGTGAGAAAGAAAATCATTGCTTCCAGAGCCAATGCTACAGCTATAATTACAATAATTCAGTTCCCATCTCTCCAAAAGAGACTTGAATTTCCTGACATACTAAAATGACATACTTGTGGGCTTTTAAATTTTTCTTTTCTTTAAACTTGAGTTGTCCAAATTGGCTACTTAGCCTTGAAATTTTCCAAAGTAATAATCAAGGCACCATTTCAATGTCTGTGCTGCATAGTCGAATGTTTTAAGGAAAGAAATATGTTACCCTTTTGCAGTGAGGTTTGTTTTGATAAAGAGGACCTTCAGTAAGGAAGGAGGTGTGAAGGAAGAAGAAATGTTAAAAAGACAAACGAAACTGAATCTGAAGAGTGCATGAGATACAAAAGTGCCTAGGACTCTCTAAACTGCTGAAATGTGTGAAAAATATGGACCAGTGTGGTTCTGGTGCTGAAAATAAGCAACTGTTTCTTTTTTTTTTCCAGTTTGTGTTTTTTGTTTGAGACATGGTTTCACTCTGTATCCCACCATGGCTGAGAATTTACCATATCTATCCATGCTGACCTTGAACTCATGTTTACTCTTACAAGAATGGAAACTACAGGTGGTTAGTCACTTGAGAAGGCTTAATCATGACAATTTGACAAAATTGTTAAGTTCATAAAGTAGCGTAGCAGCTATGTGTTATCATACAGATTAACAGCACAGAATAGCTAATAAATTATTGCAATTTTTATTTCTTGGCCACTGATATTATTACAGGCAAATTCATTTGCTTGCATATTGCAGAACTAATGTATAAAGAATTATTCCAATAAAAGGCTAGATTAAGAAAACCTTACCTTGTATAACCATGTTTATTCAGCAGAGCATTGCCATTCAGACTTTTCATTCCTGTAACAAATACCTGAGAGGCAAAAAGAGAGAGAGAAAAAAGATTTTGGCTCATTGTTTCTGTTTTCAGTTCATGTTCAGTTGGTTTCATTGTTTAAAGCCTATAGCAGGGCAAAATACCATGGATGAAGGAAAAATACAGATTTCAACATTATTCTCCTGGTGTCTCTCTTCTTCCACATCAAGCCACCACCCACATTCCTGTTACTTCAAATAGTCTTTTACAATTTTGAATGCATCAACTGATTACATCATTTGTTAGATCAGAACCACCATGATGTAATCTTTCTTGGAAATGTTTTAAAATACACCTAGCAATCTACTTAACTAACCTCCCAGGTATCTCCTGATCTAATACTATCAACGATCAAGATTAATGGCCACACTCACCTTGATAATTTCACTTACTGTGAGAAGTTAATCAGTGGTCAGTTAGTGTTGGTACAGAAAATTGTGAATCCTCTTTTCCAACCATCTTGCCGACACCTACCTTTCCAACATCTTCTTCACAGCACCATTGCCATGCTGTTGTGACAGGTTAGTTGTGTGCTATTTGGTTTCAACAGCATTTTCCACTACTCCAGTATATGTCAGGAGGAGTCTTCATGCTTTACTAGATGTCTGGTGCTTCTAAAAGTTTTGAGAATTTGAGTAAAATTGCTTTAGAGATACCATATTAATTTTCAGTCCATCAGTGAAATCATTTAAGATAAGCATATGCATACAAATACCCAGTGAGCTGGAATCCTGCAAAAGAGATAGACCTTTCCTTGTGTATGTCGTAGTTAAGTGTGAGAAAGCTAGTTTCTCACAGTCCTGTCTGGTAGGGAGTCTGAGACTGGAATGCCATCATGGGTGGGTGCCAGGGAGGGCTGTTCCTGGTTGATGGATGGCCAACTTCTCACTGCATACAAAGGGAGAAGGATGGTCTCTCCATCTAATCCATCTGAGTGCCCCACCCTATGATGTCATCTAATTAAAGCAACCTCCAGGTGTTCTTTCTTCCCAGGTGACAAACTATATGATTGGGGGAGGGCACAGTTCATAGAAGAACACCTAATGTTGTGCTCCTGTTTATTTTTTGTTAGCAAATAACATAGTACTCAGCAAATTCTACTAGATATTTCATGAAGTATCCTAATTTCTCTTCCCCATGACTTCAGAATTATTACCCTAATTCTAAATTCCTTGCTTCCTGGCTTATTAGACTTTATAAAGCTTGAAGATGCTACAAAATTAAACACAATCATTTGATTTTGCATTATACTTACGTACTGTTTGAGAAAAGCATCACATTTATTAATTGGATTCCTAATGTGAGTATATTTTCTATCCAGATTGTCAATGGATCCCTTTCTGTGTAAAAATGAAGGCAATAAGCAATTAGTTCTCTCAGAAAAAATTTCAAGAGGTCTGATATTAATGCCTATGAAATTTTCATGCATTACCTACTTTTATGAGCTTTATTGGATTTTGACAGATAAAACTAATGATTTACACTGTTTTATGATGTCCAAGGGAACTTTAAATGTTAAAACGTAAGATTTTACTGAGGTTATATACATGATAGGGCAACTAATTGGCAGGAAAAAAAAGAGTTACACACTGCGGCCCTTTGGTTATAGCAGAAAGGAACTGGTTGGCAATGGGAACATCTACCCACAGCTGTTTCAGCCCATAGCAGAGCCATTGTGCTCTGCCAGAAACACAGCAAGGGGCAATCGTCCTCTCCTTTCATTCCATGCCATCACCACCCTCTCTCTGCAAAGGTCATATGAACATACCCAGGGAAGATGGTTGTCTGCAAGCCAGGAAGGGGCACTTGTAAAAGCTTGACTCTGCTAGCTAGTGGTCCCAGATCTAAATGCTGACAGTGCCAGTTGACCAAGATCCTGTTTGAAAGCCACTCAGCCTGTGCTGTTTTTGTCTGGAGTAATGGGTAGTATTTATATTTATCCGATGAGACTTTTCAGTTCTGTACCACTGTGTGTTCTGGGAGCTTGCATTTTGTTTGTGATTGCTCATTTCTTGGCTTGGTTTTTTTGTTTTTGTTTGTTTTGGGGGGAGGGTCTTGGTTCTTGCATCACCTGAATTTGTTATCTTCCTGCCTCTGCAGTAATCTGGGCTTGGTGGCATTCTTTGCTACCCTTGGTCCACTATGTCATTTTAATGATAAACACCTATTTCTTTTATCATTAAAAATCAAATACACTTATGTTTGGAACATAAATCACAAATTTAGATGAACTTGATGGGTTTTGTTCCTGTTGTCTGCATTGGGGGGGGGGCGGCAATAAAAACTTTGGGGAAGAATTTGGGATTTTTGCATCCCTTGCTAACTGAAAAATAAGATCCCAATTTTATTGATTTTTGTATTACTATTCTATGTGATATTTTACTTACTGAAATGATACAAAATAAAATTAAACAACAATACAGCAAGAATGGTTGCTGATGAATATTATAAGTCCCTGGAGAAGGGGGAACTGATCAGGGGGTGAAGGCAAAGCCACAAGACTCTGTGACAAGTGTTCAGCATCTGGTGACTGAG